AACTACACACACAGCAGATTCATGCTGGATTAAAATCACTCCACAATTATTATCGTCAGACTGTGTAAACTACACACACTGCAGATTCAGGTTTAAATAATTCATTAATTCATTCATTCATCTTCTAAGCTGCCTGGGTTTGATTCCCGGCCGGGTGACCAGGGTCATTTCTGTGTGGAGTTTGCCTGTTCTCCCCGTCTCTGCGTGGGTTTTCTCCGGGTACTCCGGTTTCCTCCCACAGTCCAAAGACATGCAGTCAGGCTGATTGGACGTGCTAAATTGCCCCTAGGTGTGAGTGAGTGTGTGAATGTGTATGTCTGTCTGTCTGCCCTGCGATGGACTGGCGACCTGTCCAGGGTGTATCCTGCCTTCCGCCCAATGACAGCTGGGATAGGCTCCAGCACCCCACCGCGACCCAGAAGGATCTTCTAAGCTGCTTATCCTCCTGGGTCGGAGGGAGGGGTGCCAGCGGTCATTGGGCGGAATGCAGGAAACACCCTGGATATGCTGACAGTCCATCGCAGGGCAGTGATGAAGACTGCAGATGCATACTGAATTAAAATCACTTAAACATGGCTTCTGACAGTCTTTTCTCAGTGTGATGAGAGATCTTCAGAAAAATGAAAAGATCAACTAAATTAACCAGTGTCTTCAAAAAATGTACTCCGAATGAATTCATATATTGTAAAGAAAATTCTAATTCAACAAACAATAAAAGCTTAAAATGTACTAATTGAACCCTCACATTTGAGACAGTACGCCAAACTGGTGTTTTACCATAGAACAGTAATGGCAGTAGTCAAAGTTGCACAGCACAGCATTTTCTGGCTGTAGCCGTCCCTGCCATTGTTTCTGCTTTACATTCCTATTAACTGCCAGAGGGTCGCAGAAAACTGACCTTGTCCAGTTTCTGAAGTCCCTCCCCTCAGAAAGAGCCATGCTATTGCACCCTAAAGCAAAACTGAGCCGTGTCCCTTTCCTCCTGTTCAATCTAAAGACAAACAAGCCCACAGTGGCTCTACCTACACATACTGTTCACGGTCCACAATACATACTGGTTAAAACAAATTAAAGCCTCCATTCGTTTAGAGCTGTAGCTCCTTGAAAGTGACCTTGTAGTGCATTAACTACACTGGATGCCCTCAGGATAACACTTTCCGTAGAGTAGCTCAATTACTTATTGAGTCTGCCTTTTAAATTTACATTGATTACACAATCCATGCGTTCAGAGACAGAGAGAGCGAGACAGAGAAGGATGAAGAACTCAGCCTGTGGGGTAGGTGACAAAGTTTGTTAACATTGTTTGTCTCTGACTTGTGTTGAAAAGACACGCAGACAAACATATACTGGTTAAAAATGTATGTGCATGCTGCCTCTAAGCACGCCTGAGGTCAGTTATATTAGGCCTTGAACTAGAGCTGCACTGCACATCACATAACAACTCTACATGTATTTAACTTATACACTGCCCACCAACAGTTGGTGGGGGACCTTTAGCTCTTCAAAATTGCTTTTAACACAAATGGGCATGTTTTCATTGTTGATGTGCAATAGTGTACCAAATTACAAGGGGGATTTGACCCAAAAGTAATTTACAGTGGTTTGATATAAAATGCTGTATTCCAGAGAAACTTACCAAGTCAGAAGTGATTTCCTTAAACTGGTGGAGGTAGAAAACAAGGTTTACTTATTCTAAAAAATGAACGTATACATCTGATTTTTTAATATTTAATGTTAATGGTAAAATTGTGAATTGTAAAATTCTGAATTGTTGAAAAGTTGTCTTTGGGCACTGTTTTACCTCACAACACCCTGCATGTACCCCTCCACCATCAAGATGTTTTTAAGATGACTTTTTATGGCAAAAACCTTCTCAAAAAATTGGAAAACAATGTTTCAGATATCAGATGGCATATTCACAACAATTTCATATAGTAACTTTCTGTGAGTGAGTTTTTAGAGGCATGTATGTTTAGAAGTTTGCTTTTTTAGTTGTTCACTGGAGATCCAAGGCTAATGTAGCTAACAAGTAATAAAAACTCATAGCCCACTAATTAGCATCGTACTAACTGCATGACTAAATCATCACACACTTGCCTCAAACCGTGTGGAGTTGTTCAATAATCTCAGATAGAGTTGATTAGGTGGTTTCTGATACTGCTGATTGAGTGGATTTGGGGTAAAGGGCAAAACCATGTTGATGTGATTTTTCTCTGAACTATCACTAAACTTACCTGGCTAACTGAGTAATCCAGCTCTCAGAATGTACTGAATGAGCAAATGAGGCACTCACCTGTGTGCGAGATGAGTGGATGCTCGGTTTTTTGGCAGGGCGACTCTGGAGCCCCTGTGCCCGCCCCACAGGTCACCGCTGTGGGCAGCAGCAGCAGGAGGAGCAGGCGGTGGGCCGGGGGCGGAGCCATGAGCCTCCGCTGGACTCAGCACACTACTGACGGGGCCAGGGAGAGAAAGCGGGGCGCTGGGCATTAGCCACCAACAGCTACAAGGAGAGAGAGCAAAGCCAATTTGATGTTTAGGTCTCAAATGCAAAATGTTGATAGTTCTCAAACTGAACTAAGGGGTGTTCAGACAGCAACCCCCCAGGGGGCAGGGCGGGCTTATTGGGGGGTGTGTTAACACATTTGATTGACAAGTAGAAACCGATAAATAATTAAACAAGGGGTGAAATTTGTGTACACCCCCCACCTCCCCCCGCCCCCCAATTGCAGACCAATACCAACCCATGACCTAATATCTCCTATCTAATTTTTTTTTCAAGCAAAATATCAAAACATAACAAGCTCATTTATATTTTTGGTACAATCAATTAATTTTATAACAGTTTTACTCTATCATGGCAGTTTGTATATAAGTTTGTGTTACAAAAATCCCAGGTCGCTGGCAAAAGAAGATAGACAAACACTCATTTAAGGGTTTATGTAGGACACAAAAATATAAAATACACATGAAAACTGGACAGAAAAAAAAGACGCAAAACAGGGCTAATCAGATTGAGACAGAGCAGCTGTCTGGGCCTTCACTCCAACCCCCTGACCCCTGCTCTCTTCACAATGACCCTTTGACCCCAGGCCTATGAATCAGTGGACAGGTCTGCAGCTTTATCCCCATAACACACATACCATCACACAGACACTGAAACAGCATATGCTCACTCTTCAAAGATGCAACAAGAAGTTTCCCATAGCTGAACTGCAAATTAACTGATCGTTGTCATCTTATTCAGGCTTATATTTCAGTAAAGCAGCCTTGCTGTGAAAGCTACAGATCATGGGAGATGATCACTATGATGAAATCTGCTCTGAATGAACGAAAATCAAATGATGGTATCATTTCAGCTGGAGAAGGGAATGGAAACGATCATTTTAGCTTCTGCTGCTGCAAGGAAATCACAGCGATGCCTGACTAGTGGGTGAATCGATTCGTTTGAAGCAATTCTTTTCAATCAGCTGGTTGGACTGATTCACAATCTACCCTTTGGTGTTTAGATCTGTATTATATATTCTAAAACTGCTTTTAACATTTTAAAATCTTTACATACTGGGGACCGTTTCTTTGAACTGGCTCACATTTGATTAATTGGAAAGAACAGCTGAAAAGAATCAGTTCAGTAAACAATCAAACTCTCTAATGAATCATCAGAAACATCGTGCTTCCAACTTCAAGGCCTTCTTTCAATTGTACACTTACTGGCCATTTTATCAGTAACCTCTCTTGTAACTCCTCCTTACTGGTGTACAAATAGCGACTGTAGCTGTGTCGATGCGCAGTTTGTGTTAGCCATCCTCTAGCCCAGTGGTCAGAGTTTAGTTCCAACCTGCATCTACAACATGCTGAACCCTTTTTATCTAGCAGTAATACATCTAATCCAGCTCATCAAGGATTTAATTATCTGGAGTAGGTGTAACAGATTGTGGTTGCATCTAGACTCTGCTGGAAGGTAGACATCTAGAGCAGGGTTGGTGGTCACTGCTCTCACCCTCCAGCAACGGTCAGTTTCTGATCACAGATAGCTGGATATTCCTGGGCGGTGGACCACTCTCAGCCTTGAAGTGACACTAGCCAGGAGAATAACTGAAATGTTGCAAACAATTATGCAAACTAGGCTGCTCTGTACAAGAGAATACGACTCTCTACGACTAGTTCATTCATGGACCATACACTGTACATGCCTGTCACTGTTGATATCCCTCTGAGATAAAACATGAAAGAGTTTGATGTAGTGTGTAGTATGCAGTATACAGTGTTAATGTTTCAAAATGTACTGTACAGTCCATATATGGAAACTAAGCTGCAAACAACACTTCTACATTTACAGTACTTGGCCAAAAGGGTGCAAACACCTGATCTTAACACCTATATGAGCTTACTGGACATCCCATTCCAAAACATTGGCATTAATATGGAGTTGGCCTCCTTTGTGTGGCTACAAGGCTCCCCTTTGTGGCTTTAACAGCCTCCACTCTTCTGCGAAGGCTTTTCATAACATTTCCGAGTGTGTCTGTGGAAATTTGTGACCATTCCATCAAAAGAGCATTTGTGAGGTCAGACACCGATATTGGACGAGAAGGCCTGGCCCAGAATCAGTATTCCAATTCATGCCAAAGGTGTTCTGCTAGGTTGAGTCTACTGGAGTTCTACCACATCAAACTCGTCAATGTATTTATGTAGCTTGCTTTGTGCACAGGGGCACAGTCATGCTGGAACAGGATGGGGCCTCAGCCAAACTGTTGCCAAAAAGTTGAAAGCATATAATTGTCTAAAATATCTTTGCATGCTGCTTTGCATGCAAACTCTGAAAAACAGCCCTGGAGCATTATCCCTCTTCCACCAAACTTTACTGTTGGCACTACGCATTTCAATAAGTTCTCCAGGCATCTGCCAAACCCACATTCATTCATCAGACTGCCAATTAGTAAAGCTGATTCATCACTCCAGAGGACATATTTCCACTGCTCCAGTGGTGGTGTGCTTTACATCACTAGTAGGGCCGAAATTTCATAAATTGACTTGTGGCAAAGGAGGCATTCTAAGAGGCAAAGGAAACAGTTCCACATTAAAAGTCACTGAACTCATCAGTATGACCCATTCTACTGTTAATGTTTGTCTATAGAGGTTGCATGGCTATGTGCTTGATTTTATACACCTGTTTGCAATAAGTGTGGTTTAAACACCTGAATTCAATCATCAGGAGGGGTGTCCACATACTTTTGGCCATACAGCGTTTCTGCCAATTTGCCCACTGCAGTTTAGCCCCACCCAGTAATGCTGAAGTTATATGGGGTGTTGGGCTTAGACTGCTTTTTGAGTGCAGCATGATGCAGGGCAGCCAATCAAAGTTCATTTACGTTTATCAGTCTTAATGCCACAATAACCAAAATTCTTATTCTAAGGGACAAAGAAAGGTTGGAAGCTGGTCATGTAAAAATTAATTATGACTGGCACATAAAACACAGCTAAGGTCTGAGGGACACAATGAGACCGAATTCCCGAAGTAAGAATTTTGAATAAAATTGGTTAGCAGACCAGGCTTTACAAAAGAAGGCAGGAACATGTTAAATGTTGTATTTGTATAGTGGTGGTCCTATGGTGGTCCCAATCTATTGATTGTAGTCCAGGTGAGTTGATAAACTGTGCAGCAACAGATGAGCTACAGTCCGTAACTGTAAACCTACTATAAACTACATGGTTGTTGTTTCCGATAAAGTGGCCAATGAGCGTAGCTACAAGGTAGGTGTTTCTAATAAAGTGGCCACTCTGTGTACATCTGTTCCCCTAAAATACAAACAACTTTGATTTATTTCCTTCATGTGTTCCTGTCCTAAATAGAAAGGCCTCTCTTGACATGAGGTCAAAGAGCTGGGAGGGGAACATGCAGTGCTATCTGTCTATGTTAATGTAAAGCATCTGTGCTGTGGGGTTGCCAAATCCTGTCAGTCAAAAATCCCACCAGCTCTCTATTCATCAGAAATGTCTCATCCATATATGACAGCTCAGAAAAACCGATGCAGTCACACAGTGCAGCACAGCTTAAATCAATTACTTCAAAGGGGAATTCCACTGATTTTTTAAAATTTCTACATATATGAAAAGTTGTGATTCTTTCAGAGTGGTTTGATTTGAAATGGTTCAATGTAGAAAAACTTACTACTACTGAAGACTCTTTATAGTGGTGGTGAGGGGAACCAGAGGTCACGCTGTCTGAAATATAGCCATTTATTTGCTATCCAAACCACCAGTGAACCATATGTGAGTCTAATGTTGATGGTAAAATAGTGATGAATTTGAATTTTTTTTCCATTTTGCCTCACAACTATTTCGCCCCTGCATGCACCTCACCACCATAAATGGATTTTAAAAATGTGTTTTATGCCAAACCATTCTCAAATCTATCAAAAAACAATGTCTCAGACATCAGGCAGTGTATTCATAGCCATTTCATGAAATAACTTTCTGTGATGGAGCTTTTAGAATTGGGCGTCTTGTTCCTATCACCACCACTGTGAACAATTCTGACTTGGTAAGTTTTCCTAGAATGAAGCATTTGACACCAAACCACCCTGAATGACTTTGTTTACATTTTCATGATTGAATTTTGCAGAAATTTTGGGGGGAAAAAATGGTGGAATTCCCCTGGTGGCAGTCTGGCATTTGGGGTCTATAGTTAGTGTAGGCTTTACATTCCTGTAGGCTCAGCACATGTGCAGTGGTCTATCAGCACAACCTCTACAGGCCACCATGTTATTAACTCCTTAAACTCAGAAGGTCAATATAAGGGTCTGCACCTCAATTAGTTAATCAAAGCTGAAACATGACACGTGCCTACACAGGCATTCCAAAGACATACATTTGACCACTTTATGGACAGATACAAGGACAGCGTGAATGCAATGCGTATTTTCATTTCCCGCTCCTAAGCAAACCCACGCAGTGCTGCTTTGAAATGGGGCTACTTGGAATCTAACTTTGAAAAAAGAGAGAAATGTCAGTTTCTCTGCCATGAATGTTTCTGATAAGGCTAGTGGTGTAAAAAAGGCCTTAAAATGACATTTGATATAGAAAACTGTCAAACCTAGCAAGCACTGTTTTGAAAGGGCCTATGTCCTACATTTTTCTCGTGTTTAAGGTCTTTTCATGACATTTGTGTGGGTTTATGTACCAAAAACAGCTACTATTCTTTTTTTTTAATCTCTCTTTATTCCTCAGAACTAAACAGGCTGTTTTCTGTTACGGTGCCTTTAAGGCTATATGCAAATGACCTCTGTTCTGTCTGGCTCCATTGTATTCTGCCTTATTCCATAAAGCAGTCTAAGCTGAAACCCTCCTTTAAACTTCAGTGTGAATGGATGGGGCTAAATTTTTGTAAGCTAAATAGGCAGATATATGTAAATACTGATTTTCATGACATCACAAAAACTATAATTTAAAGGGCCCATATCCTACATCTTTCTTGTTCTGTATATTTTTCCCTTAAGATGCAGT